TTTATTTTATGAAAGATTTATAGAATAATGGCTGACTTTGTGCCAGACTTCGACTTTGTGGAGGAGGAATTTGATTTTGCAGAGTTTTATGGCCGCCCTTATTTATTTGAGCCAGAATACACTGACGAAGAGCTTTGTGAAATTGAAGAACGGAGGAGAGAGAGAGAGGCACAACAGGTAGAGGACGACAGAGGAGGAATGGCTGCTGCAAGGCTTTAGCTCTGGAGATTGGTGGTGTAACGTTACCTGTGAATGCTGTACCCCAGTGCCCACAGAAGAGGAATACCTCTGTTGCAAGGAATGGGACCGGTTGCAGCCTTAGCTAAATGGTAAACAACAAACATGGCACCACACCGGTAAGGTAAGACAACACGTTTACATGTCGTTTTCTATATGTTCTCTGACATTTATCCTAGTGATATGAGGCGGGCTTTGTGGAGAAAAAGCTTGTTTAGTGGACTAACTTTGCACTTGAAAGGATGCCCGTTCAATTACGTTTTAACAGGTCTGACGTCCCGGCTGTATCTAGGCTAACGGCTAACATGCTAACTATTATTTCTATGTCACTAGTGACTTGAAACAAATTTAGGACGATAGGAGACGGGTTGAAATAAACCAAAATTTCCCATTAATTTTCCGACATTTGATTTATCAACTTTTAATACTTTTTAAGACCCCGCAGACACCCTGGATTCGATACAGATTAATAGTTGTTTGGTCTATAAAACGTCAAAATGGTGAAAAATGTCGATCAGTTTTCCAAAGCCTAAAAATGATCTCCTCAAATGTGTTATTTTGCTCACAACCCAAATATATTTAGTTTACTGCCATAGTAGCAAAGAAATCAGAAAAATTATTATTTACAAGGCTGAAATCAGAGAATGTGGACTTTTGGCTTCCAAAATTACACAGACCGATTAATCCATTATCAAAACAGTTGAGGATTAATGTCATAATTGATTAATCGTTGCAGTTCTACATCTGTTATGAGTTACACAAGTACATCTGTATGGAGTTATCTGATATGACAGATTGTCAGAGCACTTCATTTGAATTCTTCAGAAAACACTATAAAAGCCAAAGTATATTAGGTTAAGTTAAGTCAGAGCTGTTCTTTGTTTTTGTTGTAATAGTGATGTCAAATTTGGTTTGATCAGAGCTATGAAATATTAAATCATCCATCTCTGTTCACTACATCTCATCTTAGCCTTTCTCACCCTGCAGTGTGCATAAAATACAGGTTATATGAACTTCTTTTAAAATACAAAAATGTGAAATTATTAGTCATCTTATCAGTATTGACCATGAGAAGCAGGTGGATATCGGCTAAAAAATATATTGTATTGTACATATTGTGCATCCCTAAATAGATCTGTAATGAGAGGCATTACATCACATCTGTTATGAGTAACATGAACATATCTGTATTTAGTTACTTTATCCAACATCTGTTGTCAGACTGACACCCTACACCTGTTTCAGGATCACTGAGAGGGTACAACAGATTCAGAGACATTTGTAAGGGCACAACATACTTTGACAATTTTGTCGAGGTCTGTCACATCATTTTCTTGGTCAATGTCAGTGAAACCAATGGGGACAGTGCTTTGCAAAACACTGTACTTTTGGCGGAGAACTCCAATGATTCTTTCAATGTGTATCCTAAGAGATGCTAAGCATCTGGTGTTCTCCAACTTAACAGGATCTAGCTGTTTCTTGCCACAAGTGAATGCTGGAATCTTTAATTCAGATTGACAAGACTGTACAGAGTCTTTGACATTGAAACCTCTGTCTGCCAAAACTAGGTCCCCTGGGAGCAAATGAGACAAAAAATGACTTTGCTCTGTGATGAACTTATCACTCGTGCAGCCTCCCCAGCCATTGGAAATGAAACAAATGTAACCTTGTGGGCAAATGGCAATTAAATATTTCATTGTATGGTGTGACTTGTATGTTGAATAACAGTGAGCACTGGCTAACAAGTTGCGAGGTTTCTCAATTAATATTTCAAAACAGTCAATAATGCAAACTGTCCTTTCAACCGTACTGTTCCTAAATGCATATGGAAGAGATTTTCTTAATGATTCCCTGTCAGGCCATATAACTAGACTTGTCACTAGTCTACAATACATGACACTAATACAGTGTTTGAAAAGCTTTGAAACAGTGGTCAAATCAACACCAAAATAATAAGCCAAAAAGTCAAAAGACAAATTCATTCTCAGCTTAATTAAAGCCAGCATATACTGCTGAAATAGTGTCAGGCCAGACTTGTGTTTTAGATAGGGAGCTACAAAACTAAAAACTGTCATTAGCAGTGAATATGTTGGTAAACCAGTGAGAATATTAACCTTTTTATAGTTGTTTTGTAGACTCATCTCATTTAGTCCAGTTCTATTCATTTTCTCTTTCAACAACATATTTTCAGTCCTCAGAGCTTGGCATTCCATCTCAAGAGATTTAATATGTTTCTTACAGTTTTCACTGGAACACGGTGGAGTTTCTGGATCATCATTATCATCAAGAATGGACTGGAAATCATTTTCAAGTTCTTTTTGGGTTGATTCCTCCACAGGAGCTTTTTCTGTGAGATGACCTGCATTAGGGTGCTTGCTGCCATCTTGAGGACAGGCTGTTGGAGGGGTTACTGGGGCAGCTGATGGTGTTTCTGCTTGCTCTCTTCTTTGGAGTTTGGTCTTCTGTCTTCTGTTGAATACATCTAACTGCATCCTCCTTCTCTTCTCTGGGGATGGCACATGTTTGAAGATGGATGGGACGTAGTCAGGTAACAGAGGGTTATTACTCTTTTTCCCTGAAACATTATGCAAATACACATGTAACAGGTTTAGTACATGTTTCATAGATGTTTCAAAGTCTGACTCTTACATGAATCTCATTTTTAGAAACTATTACATGATCTTCTCTTCCTTGTTGTAAACAGTAACACTTACTGTTTACAACAAGAAGATCTATTACAGATATGCAGACGACACACTAACAATGAACAATTCTACTAATAAGATAACATAAGATATACTTTTATTGACTCCCGTAGGAAAATTTGTTTTGGACTCTTGTCCGTTCTGCAGCTTCACAAGTAAATAAATATAATAAAAATATAACTTACATCTAATACATACACTTATACAACATATGGTAAATGGACCTGCATTTGTATAGCATCTTTCTAGTCATGTAGTGACCACTCAAAGCGCTTTTTACACTACGAGTCACATTAACCAATTCACACACACATTCATACACCGGTGGCCGAGGCTACCATACAAGGTGCCACCTGCTACTCAGTTTTTTTTTAAACACACTCACACACCGATGGAACAGCCATCGTGAGCAATTTGGGGTTCAGTATCTTGCTCAAGGACACTTCGACATGCAGCCTGGAGGCAATCGACGACCCGCTCTACCTCTGAGCCACAGCCGCCCATATACACGTTTGCTTCCCTCCTGCTAACAATGACAGAATCTAGTGATATACTTCACAATCCCCATGACAGAACAATGACACATGACATACCAGCAGCCTTACATTAAGGCTGGGCGGTAATATCAGGTATTATTTTGGGGGGATGCGGTGACGTTATGATGTTGCGGTATCGTCTCTCTTTTTTTTACACCTTAAATCAAACAATTTCAAAAGCCATACAAGTCTAGGATGGAAACTTTTTATCGTCAGAAGTAAAGTGGTTACTAATCCATCTATTATTGTGTATAAAATGTTATATTTTATCTATAAACGTTAGAGGGAAGAGGGAGGTCGGGCGGCTCCCGGGCCCGGGTTTGGGGCGGTCGGCCAGGCAATAGATATCATAGATGACTCACTCCTGTGGCTACTGTGCGTCAACGTCGTCGCTATCTTGGGGAGGTCACTGCCGACTAGCTAGTACTGTTGTGTATGGGGATAAGTCTGGGTTTTTCTTCTTTGCTCCAATATCTTGGACCGGCACCCAATTACACTTTGAGCCTTTTGAGTGAGCACGCAAAGTTTGCTGAAGACTTATCCCCATACACAACAGTACTAGCCAGTCAGCAGTGACCAAGTTCAGACTTGCCTTTTATGAAAATTAAACGGTTAGAAATCGCAATAAAAGCATGTAGAATAAACATTAAAGTTAGTGAGCGTAGGATTCTGTACCTGATATGAAGTGATCACTACACAAGCGGAATCCGTTGCCTTTGGGCTCCCAACGCTCCGTTTTCTTCTGCTCGCTTCGGGCACGTTTTATGGCAGTAATCCACCTCTGCCGTCTTTCAGGATCTTTCGGGATTCGATAAAACGCTCTCCCCTTCGCGTGTCGACTGTTATGACACCCCGGGGCACAACAGCTGTCCACCATTTTCACTTTTGTATGAAAACAGCCCGGAGAAGAGAGGAGTTAGTTACGAGTCAGTTAGCTATGCTTGGCAGTCAGTTGTACAACGCGCTTCCCTGCCAGTATGGCGTTGTTTCCATTTCGACTGTTGCATCCTGGGATTGCGTGACGTCAGCTACCGGCGCTTCATTGGCCCTGTCCAAATACCTGCACTTGCGCCCTGAGGTCTTCACTGAAGTGCACTTGCCAAAAGTGCAGTTAGGGGCATAAGTGCGCAAGGGATCGACGCTGTTTAAAAAGGAGAAGTGGGACAGTTGCGTACGCGTCACTTCCGTTTGGGTCCAGCTGGTCCGTCTCCTAGGAGACGAAACATGGCGTTAGAGGAAATAACGTTGTTCGCAGCACTGCTGCTGCAAATGATAAATAGATACAATCAGCGAATGATGAGGAGGATTAGGAGCCGCAGGAGAAGGCGGCATCTACATCAGATCCAAGTACTGATGCTAAATTAAATTAAATTTTACTCTTGAATTTACCTGTTAATAATGTGTATATTAGCTGTAACATCTTTTTTTACTCTACTGTTAACATAGCCTAGATTACCGTTATTACTATTAAAACGTTTTTTGCTTGGATAAATTGAGGTAAATTGTGATATAAAATAAAATATAAAGACATACAGTAATAAAATAATAATAATTAAAGACACAATCAAAACTGTAAAGTGATGTGGACTGTCATACAAACCTCCAGTCATCTGTAAACTGTATATTATTTCATTATTAACGCCCTGTCATGTATTATTATTATGTCCACACAGCGTGTTGTTTGACATTATGTTCCTCTAACGGTTGTTGTCAGTCGGAGTTAACGGCTCGCGGACACGTCAGTTACCGTTTGAAGATGGTGAGTTGTACCAGCCAGCTGTGCAGTGTTACGGCGTCACGACACTACGGAGGATTCTGGGTAAAATCCTTCAGTGAAGTGAGGTCTGATGCGCACTTTTGGAAGGGGTGCATTAAGGGCACAGGTTTGCACCCCTTGATAACAACAGAAGACAATTTGGACACCCTACGCACTTGTGCCCCTTAGCGGGAGCGCGCAATTAAGGGGCACAAGGGCACAAGTGCGGGTATTTGGACAGGGCCATTGGCTGTCCTTTACCTTTCTTTTTTTTCAAAAATCATTGCACAAAACATCCACGTTAAGGACATGTATATTACGTACAAGAACAAGGTACAAAAACATTTAACAGAATGACAAGAGGTTACATACATCAGAGAAAATTAACATTAGCACATTGTAACGTTAAATGTGTGTTAATAGCTAAGTTTCAGTTCTCCTTGGAAAGACAAAAACATAGGCTTCTTTTTAGCAAATTTACACTTATGGATATTAAACTTCGCTAAGAAAAGAGGTACATTAATAACAAAATCCTTTTCAGAGACACTGGGGTCTTTGGGGAACCCAAAATAAAAATCTTTTAAAGTCAAAATAAAGTCCTTGGATACTTTTCTTCTCTAGGGTGACCATACTTTGATTTCCAAAAAAGAGGACACTCAGCCCAGCCACGAGATAGTCTACTTAAATGATACCCGCAGTTTACTCAAAGATAGAAATTCAGTTATATTACAAAATAATATCTCTCAAAGACAGAAATTCAGATAGGCCCCTATAGATAGGGGACACATACACACACTAGAGTGTGGCTACCCGACGGGTCGTGCCGGGTTCGGTCAAAAATGTATAAATTGTTTTCGGGCTCGGGTCGGATTCAGTCAGCTTTCAATGAAAATGTAGTGTAAAAATAAATTAAATCCTATTATCTGTCCTGTTTTTTTGCTTGGGCACTGTTATTTACGTGACAACACCTGAACATAACACACACGCACATTAGCTGTGTTCGAAACCGTCCACTCACTCACTCACTCACTCACTCGCTATTCCCTATTCCCTATTTTGTGTTTACTATATAGTGCACTACATGGGGAACGACTGAACGAGATTTCGGACACTAACTGACATTTTTCCTTCTTCTTCTCCTCTGGCAAAAGACGACTGCATTGCATTGTGGTATACGCGAGTAAAATGTAGGGTACATCGTTTGTTTACTCACATTTGCTGTGCATTGTGGGTATTTTATAGTCCACTATATAGTGAATGAAATTAACCGCGGAGAATTCAAACAACACTACAAAATGGCGAACACACTATATAGTGCACTATATCCGTGATAGGGAGCGATTTCAAACACAGCTATTGGCTGTTTGTTTCTCCCTCTCCCCTCACTGGAAGCCTCGGACCTCCCGCCGCCTGCCTCAGCCTTGATTAAATGCTGAAAATAAAATAAAAGAGGGAGCCAGGTTTCTCCTATTTTATCTTATTTTGTTATATTTCTCCCTCTCCCCTCGCTGGAAGTCTCGGACCTCCCGCCGCCTGCTCCGGTCTCAAACATGGAGGTCTCCCTCTCCGCGGAGCACCCATGGCGCACGCCCGGTCTGTTAAATAGCCTGTAACCATAACAACTGTGTGACACAAACTCAGTGCTTTAGTAATTAAATAATGTCAGGCTCAGTTCGGTAACGGACATAACAAAAGAGAATGACTGTCGGGTTTGGAAAGGAAAACAGGACATTATCATCAATTTATAAACACCCCCCACACGCCCCGGACAGGACGTGAAAAGTGGACATGTCCGGGCAAAAGAGGACGTTTGGTCAGCCTACTTCTGACAAAATTTTCTAATTTTCTTATAGATGCAGTCTAACTAGAAGACAGTTATCTACAAAGACAGTAGAGGAGTATAAAGGTGTGGACACACCAAACCGACATCAGAGAACTAGCGGCGACGAAAGCCAACTGTTGCGTTGTCTATGTCGCCTCACGTCGCCCTGTGTCAGTTGCATTTGAACACACTACACGGACTACATCCAACGGCCAAGTGGCATGTACATTATGTGCCTGCGTGAGAGACAGTGGTACATCCTGACAACCGAGGGGTTTCCTATCTGTGCAGCCGAGCACCGCAGCATCTCCACGTACTATTACATCCAGACGGTCCCGGTGTTTCCTCCACAGGCTCCACTTCACTCAGCTGCCCAACAAACCCGCTGCTTAATCCCACTTTAACCTGAATAACAAACCAGGGCTCTCCGTTTGGATTCTAACGGAGAGTCGGGGCTAGCTGGGAAGCTAGCGGAGGCTAACTGGCTGTGCTTCCCTCCGGTCATGCTGTGGCTAACGCTCCGCTAGCCGCCCCCAGCTAGCTCCAGTTTGTTATTCAGGTTAAAGTGGGAAGAAGCAGCGGGTCTGTGGGCAGCTGAGTGAAGTGGAGCCTGAGGAGGAAGCACCGGTTAGCCACGGTTTCACTACAGGCAGATTCACTCGCTACAGGGGCGAGGAAATAAAACCTGAACAGCCAATCAGAGTGATCTCTTTCACCGACAAGCTTCGCCGCCGATTCAACATGCTCAGTCGGCTGAAAAGCCGCTGATGCCAAATTGCAGACGGTGCAGGACACACCACAAAAACTAGGTCGACAGACGCTCACCGACGGCCCGACTTTGGTTGACGGCCGACCGTCGGCTTGGTGTGTCAGGGCCTTAAAGAGGGTGGAGAGCAAGAAGGGCAGGAATAGAAGAGTAACCTCTTTAAATATTTAAAGATATATAGTTGAACACGGTGGTCCGACTGATCTGATGTTTTCCGCTGTATTTATTTTATGTACTGTGTTTCTTTGCTATCATCTTTGATAAACCAAACCTACTGCTGTCATGGTCCTGCCTGATGCCTCCTGCTGCTGCTGTTATCATTAGTCATACTTCTACTGTTATTATAGACATATGGTTATTGTCACATACATATACCATCATATATAAATATATATATACATATATATGTATATATATATGACCGGGTGCCCTTTGGAGCACTCCCAGTCGCTGTGGGGCGCTGTGCCAGTCATCCAGGGACTTGAGGTACTGGTCGGTGCGCACCTTTAAAAGGGTGTCATCACCGAGCTGGCCCCCCTTTCCCTGGTCCTGGCAGTGAGCGTCGGTGGCATTGTCGAGCTCTGCATCCCTAGCATACCCC